GTGTTCTTTGAAGGCTCTGTAAATTTTTTGTAAAGTGAAGTAGGAGTTAGATGGATGGATGAATAGATGGATGTGTAAATGACAGAAGGATAGGCATATGAACTGTCAGATAGGTAGATGGCAGTACTTGTTAACTGACTGAAATAAGCAGCAAATGAATTGAATTAAATAGTACTCAATCTTTCCTACTTATCCATGAGAGGTTTCAACGCAAGGCATAAGTACTTGGGTAATTCCCTAAGTGCACACGTGCATGCCCACACACACTTGCCTTCATGCATGCACACACGTAAGCAAAAGAAATAGAAATACCTCATCCTGTCCACTGCCAGCCCCTTGAGACTTTCTTTCCTGGTCCACTGCTGGTTGAAGTTCATTATTAGCCTGATCCAGTTCCTCGCCATTTTCTTCATCGGTAACTCCACTTACACGAGCGGGACCTGCCTGCTCCTCACTGTGATCCAGGATCTCCTCGACTTGCTCAGTGGCTTCTGTAGCCTCCCTTCCTCCTTCATCTTCAACTTCACCATTCATTCCTGAGAAGTCTTCTTTCGGTTCTGTATCCTCACTTGCTTTCTCTCCATCTTCTTCCTCATCTACTATTTCTGCTGGCCTCTGATGGACCAAAAAGAATAATAGATAAAAGTGGGACATATTAAGGAGATTTTCCATTGCACATTATAGCAATGTAATAATTATTACATTACAGTCAAGTAAAACTTTCTTACATTTGCATACTTTACAGTATATAAAGTGCTTACATTGACTGAGTACCTACCGTATACCACACTTCGCAAGTATTTTCTCATTTAACCCTCACAACAATCATGTGAGGTCATTATTCCCATTTTACAGATGAGAAAACAAAGGCACAGAGAGACAAGTATCCAGTCCAAAGTCACACTGGAAAAGCCAGCATTTAAACTAAACATGTGACTACAGAACCAGCACTTGTACTCCGCATGGCAGATAGAAAACTAAACGGCAGGGTCCTTGGCCAGTGTCTTTTGGAGTGTCCGGCCCAGAGGAAGAGGCTAAGAAAAAAAGGTGTTGGTGGAGAGATTATCATCCTCAGTGCCAAGGATGAGGGTGATGGCACCAGGATGTGAACTCAAGTTTTCTGACATGGAATGTGGACAGCTTTCCACACAATGCCTAGGAGAGTTGACAGCTTATCTCTAAAAAGCAAGAAAAAAGATTGTCATGTAGATCCGAGGCCAAGCAACTACATGCCCTTTCTATAAAAATAATAAACGCTAAAGTATTATATTAACCTTAAGCATTTTTACTGTTATTTGGATTCATATAAATTTGCTTTAAACGAGAGCAGAAGGCCAAGTTCCAGATCCAAGACTTTGGAGAGAGAAAGATCCAGGTGCAAGACCTGGCCAGCACTTACTGACTGCTGCCTAACTTTTGTGAGTTTCAGATTCCACATTTGTAAAATGAGAATGTAACAAAACTCCCATTGGAATTAAAGGAGATAGATTATATAAAGTGCCAAGCATAGTGCCTGGCATATCACAGATTCTAAAAAAACACTGAAATCCCTTTCCATGTATAGTGATAAATCTATCCTGGAGCCATCATATTTCTTCACTGCCATCAATCAAATAACAGGGTTTTTTTTTTAAGTGCTAAGTGTTTAAGTGTTGCTCTATGTTAGAATCTCAGACCTAGGGTTTTTCATTTTCTATAACTTCACTTATAGAAGTTAACATGATGCCTTCAGTTATGGAAGTAAAGAAGAAAAAAATGAAGGGGAGTAGAATAGAAGATCAGAATAAAATTCCACACATTATTTTGAAGAAAGAGTTTTTATCTTCTGTCCAAAATAATGCCTCAAATTTGATTATGATACCAAAGATGCACTTTGAAAATGAAGGTAAAATCTAATTGCTCTCAAGGTATTGCAAAATCCATAGCGTTTGTCATCATGCAGATTGAATAATACAGCAATGCTGGGTTGTTCACATTTTCATGTAGGTGCTTAATGTCAAATTGTGTAGAGTCCTAACTATCCCTAAACATCATGGCCAGGGTGAGGTCATTCAGAAGGCCGAATGGTAGACAGAAACTCAGGTTGGGAGGTGGTGGATCTGCCAGAGGGTGCTAAAAGAA